GCTTTCGTGGACTCAAGTGGGCTGTAGTCCACGAAAGCTTATGCTCTAATAAATTTGTTAGTCTCTAAGGTGCCACAAGTACTCCTGTTCTTCTTTATCCCCTTGGGACTTCCAGCCAAATTTGTTAGGCTAAAGAGCTTTAAAAAATACAGGGAAGCCTCAGAACTTCTGGATACTTCGCCAAGCTTCAACTCTCTTGAGGCCAACTTATCCCTAATCTATCCCAGTAGTATCATGGCAATGCCTCCATCACAACAGCACCTTCTTGCATAGACTCCCTTCCCAGTCTCTGTCACCTGTGCTGCTTGAAAACAAAGAAAGAGAAAACCCCACATTAGACACTGCACCACTGGGGAGTTCCTACCATTTGCAGTCCAGCTTCTCAATCAGACGTTGCTTCAGTCCCTGACTGAAACAACATCTGATTCCAATGAGGCAGAGTGGCCTCCCTCTGGACCTGAGAGGGAGGAACCATTTCACTCCTTGTGGTGGGTGCAGCTAACTCAGCCCAACCCCCTCGCAGGAAGTGCAGGGGCAGGGCAGGAAGTATAAGAGTAGGGCCCGGCAACTCAGTTGTGAGCAGACCTGGGAAGGAGGCAGATGTCCCTACTAGACAGCTGAGCCCTTTGTGAGGGCCAGGACCAGCTTCAGAGCAGATCGGAGCCCTACTGGCCCAGGAGATGGCAGGACCCGGGGAAATACTGAAGGAAGCACCACCCAACTGTGAGCCAGAGCCTGGTGGTGGCGGCGTGATGCTAGGAGAGTCGGATAGGAAGTAGCCCAGGGAAACCAGGCGTTGGTCCAGTTGAGTTGCCAGGACGTTAGGCAGTAATCTTACATTTCCCCACTGACCTGTGGTGGGATAACTCACCACTGCGAGCATCCAGGGCTGGGACCTGGGTCCCCCTATATCTGTTGCTGTCCCACACCTGGAGCTGGCTGCATATTCACCTAGGCCAGAAGGCCTGCACCTGACTGTTGTTGCTTGTCCCAGCCAGGAGGCTGAGGGCTATCGACGGTTTGCTTGCTGTGCCCTGCCCAGAGTGCTGGAGCCAGCCATGAGGCTGTGGGTCAAAGACTGTGCAATTACTCCGGAGGCCTAAACCCTAGACATTTGGTGGGTACTCCAACCAGGGGCTGGAGCTATGAGCTGAAGGGCCGTGTGCTGGGTCCTCTGGAGGAGATTGGAAGTGTGGAGTGGGCAGGTCTGTGACCACAAACCAGGCCAAACCGACAACACCCAGCCTTCCTCTGGACCCGAAAGGGAGGAACCATTACACACTCCAAAGTGCCTGTTTGGATGTGTGCATGGAGATAAATGAATCTGGAATTTGATAAAAGTTAGAACCTTGCCCTGGCTAAACAGCCAATAAAAGAACCAAATGCATAAAGGCATGAGGCAAAGAGCTGGGAAGAAAAAAAAAAGAAATAATTCTTTTCCTTCAGCAGTTTTTCTGATCCCACTTCACCACAATCTACTGTTTCCTTGGCAATGGAAGCCTCAAAATAAACAGAAGCCGTGAGGCTGTGTCCAGTAGTCCATTCAACCATCTGCCCAGAAGAAAACCTTTTTAACATGATTTACTGAAGTCCTGCTGCAGTGCTGGCTGCCTGCTGGCAGCTCTGCATGCAGATCAAACAGGTCGCTTGCACTTCTTTACTAGTCCTCTTGTCTGTCAGGTGATTGTCGCACATTTATTTTTAAGCTCTGTCATTGTGTGTGTGTGTGTGTGTGTGTCCCTTCGCCTATCAATACACAAGGCCCTGAGGCTGAAGAGTTAGAATAATCCAGCTGCCTCCAGTTCATACAGAGCTTTCTAGCTTCCCTGATAGTACCCTCTTTGGGATGATTTAAACAACCTGATGTGCATGTTGCGGCTTGTCACCTCTCCGCAGAGCTGCAGGAGCAAGGCAACAGGAAAATCCTCAGCACAGAGGGAGAACTGCAGCAGCAGCAGAGTGGAACTGCACAGGCGTCAAGCGGAGGTGAAACCTGCAGCATTGCTGACACTCCTTCTTTCCAGAGCGACAGCAGCAGCGTTTCCTGCCTAAGACGAACACAAGTCCCAGAGCTGCCAGCCACCCC